TATGTCTGACCCGACCTGACCTTATCAGGTCGGGTCAAGTCAATTACCCGACCCGACCCGACCTGTTCGGAGCTCTAGGTAAAATTTATTAAAAAAGTGATTATAAATTCGTCTTCAAACTGTCAGACGACTTTTATTATCAAAAATAATAATAAAAGTCATATCTGAACTGTCAGAGCTATTTTTATTAATATTTAATAACCTAAAATTTCAGATTAATCTGAAAATTTTTAGTTCAGATCAGATTATTTAAAAGTTTCAGATTAGATCAGTTCAGATTGACATCTTTTGGATTTATAATCTGAACTGAACTGAACTGAAAATTTCAGATCAGATCAGATTAGCCTTTAATCTAAACTGAACTGGAATTTTAGAGCTTTAGATATAGATACAGTCTCTGGTGAAAAAAATGATGGTAAAAATATCACATATATTTTTTGGCCATAATGACGTCATTTTCACGAATCGGGCTATCATTTATATTACCAAATTGGACTATTTAATGTTGTTTAAAAGGTAAGTCATAAACAATGATTGTTATTATTGTTTACTTCTAACTCTTACCTATCAAAACAATGCCAAGTTGTCTTGAAATTTAGCGAAACTACAGTAATTTACTTTGGCAACAAAACATTCGTAATCCAACTGAAATTTCTGAACGTTTGAATATTTCTTTACATTCCTGTGAATAATATGTTAGTACGTTACGTAAGGTTGCTAGACAAAATCAAGAATTTAGACAGACATCTAAATAGTAAAAGTAAAACTTGGTTAAATTATATTAAAACCTTATTAAAAAATTTGTGAAATTTGGAAAAAGGTAAAACTATATTAAAGCTTATAAAAATGGCGAAACTATATCAAACACTTAGTAAAAATTTAGCAAAACTAAAGGTTTTACCGTTTTGCTAAATCCAAAATGAGTTTAAACAAGCAACCTTAATGTTACGTAAAATCAGTGATATTTCTATAAATCATTCAACTGGGCATCCAAGAAAATTGTCTTTTAAAAAACGCTGCTATATTGGAAAAATTTTGAAACACAACCACCTTATGACGGCAGGTGAACTTAAAGCTAAATTGGAAGAAATAACTCTGAACTCGAAGTTAGTGAGCGTACAGTGCGACGTGAGCTCAAAAATCTTGGATATGTCTCTATTCTTCCAAGAAAAGGGTCTCTCTTGACTCAAAAAGCGAAGGACGTTTGCTTGTTCTGAGTACATAAACATTTGTGTTACAACTGGAAGAAAGTTATTTTTTCTAATAAAACAATGCTCCAGATATTTAGCAACACCATTAAAGCATAGTCTCGAAATACATAACCAATTGCTCCTATGGTGAAACATTCATTTAAGGTCCATATTTAAGAAGCGATTAGTACAAAAGGAAAAGTCAGAATCCATCTGTTCACTGAAAATTTAGATTGTCATCTGTATCATAAAATTTTGGACGATCATTTGTATGACAATGCAGATGTATTATATGGTCGTAACTGGGTCTTCCAACAAGTTAATGACCTGAAACACAAATCCCATTACAGTCAACCCTTGATATAACGAATTTTATATCCTGAACTTCAACTTCGCTATAGAGCTATAGTGAATTTTTTAAAGAATTTGATTGGCTAGTTCGTTATAACGAGGGTAAATTTAATATAGTTGTCCAAAAAATTCGTTATATAAAAATTTGCTATAGAGAGGTATGACTGTATATTCAAAGGGACTTAAAAACTCATTTTCTAAGACGGGTTCTTTCTTGGCCTTTATACAGCTTGGACTTGAATCCTATTGAGAATGTTTAGATTAAAGATGAGAACTGTAATTAATATGTTGCAACTTTTAATGTTGCAACTTACGTTGCAAATAGTTTTAACATATATATATTGCAACTTATAATGTTGCAACATATATTGCAACTAATTTTAGCTTATGTTACAACATTTTGTAAATTTGAAATCAATTGCTGTACCATCTTTAGTTTAGATTATTTTAAAGAGAAAAGTTGAGAAAAAGATTAAGAATTTGGTGACTAAAAAAAAGTATTACCTGCAACGTTTCCTTAATACAATCCAGCAGGAATAGGACGATCTTGATGATGCTGTATTACTTCAGTGTATTGAAAGTATGCCAAACTGGGTTCAGGCATGCATCGACGCAGAAGAAGGTCATACAAAATATTAGTTATATAATTTTGTGTTAATATTATTCTTTTAAATAAAAAAATCAATAATAAAAGTTTTATATACCTTCAAAAAATGTCTCTGCCATTCTTTTCGCTATGGACTGTATAATTACATATACGTAAGCACATGTAATTATTATATAACCCATGTATAAATCTAGTTATTTATAACTTTATATGAAATAACAGGCTTATCTTATTGTGTATAACATATACATCAGTAGAATTATTTTTTTTTACACTACTTTATACCTTTATTGTTATCTTACAAAATTAATTTTTATTACATTATCTTGTAGAAGAAGTAATTTATAATAAAACTAAAAGCAGATAGATATTGTGCAAGAATTCCAAGCAGAATGAAAAACAAAAAGCCAATTATGTTTCCTATATTTATAATAAAGAAATACACTAATACAAAATTTTATTTTTACATTATAATTATAATAATTATATTTTTTTTAATTAATAAAAGCTATAAGATTTAATGTTTTAATGCTAAATTCTGAGTGAATAATCAGAATTTTAAAGATACATATTCATAGTACAGTTAAATATGTTAATAAACTGATATTAAATAAGCAAGTTTTTAAAATAAATTTTCTTTTTATAATTACATCAATTATACTTAATATAAACCAGTGGAAAAAGTGATAAGAAATTCCACCGGTGTATACATAATACCGATAGGATAATGTAGGATTATGCCAATTCTTTTAATTCTGATTCAGATATGTTTATTGATGAAATAAATTATAATGATGATGATGATGATCCTTTTAGAAATTTAATTCCTAAAGAAAAATTAAGTAATGATATATTAACTGATGATATTTCAAATTTATTAGAAGGAAATTTAGTTAATTTGAATAAAATAACTGAAGAAGAATAATCTGAAGAAGTTGATCATGGTGAAACAGATTTTAATATAGATGATATTCTTGTCAATGCAAATAGGAATAATAGGATTTAATTATGTATTAGTTATTTACGATTATAGTATTATACATTTATACAAGAATAATCATAATATTTTTTTACAAATGGTTTTTTTGTAACAAATTAGCAAATTAAATTAATAATGATAATAACAATAATAAATTGCTAAAGTTGTTAATGCTATTAAATATGAATAATAAAATTAAAATAATTATTATTATCAATTTCAATTCGGCAATTAGGAATTACGGCAATTCGGTATTATGACATTACGATATTACGACAGTGGTGTGATTTATTTCGGTGTTATATTACATCGCCGTAATATTTAATTCATGTATAGGTTAAAATATACTCTTATAGACATGTCACCTGACTGATAAAGAATTTGTAATTAATAAGTTTTTAAAACCCAAGTTTAATATTAAAATAATAATAATATTTATCAATTGAACATTAAGCAAGATAAAGATAAATAAAACTAGCAGTGATCATCAGCCCCCTATTTTTGAGATTACGTAATTATCATATAAATTAACGTTTTCTTTGTTTCAATTAGTATATAATAAAGTAAATAAAATTAGTTTTAAAAACACAATTTATTATGGAACCTTTAGCATCGACTCCAAACAAACAAACAATTGTTTCTTCAACATCGAAACTAAATAAACGTTCTGTAACAATTTTACCTCCAACACAAGTTACAACGATTGATAAAAAAACCAAAAAAACTTTCATTTTAGAATATTCCGTTCATTTGGCTTCTAATAGGTTTAATAGAGAACTCAAATGTGTTTTTCCCCAAGTTGAAAATTTTGAAAAATGTCTCGTTATACCCACTTTTCTAAAATGTGAACATGATTTAGTTGGTATTGGTGCTGCAATAGATCTTGAAAAAGATGAAAAACTTGAAGTTGTAAGTAATAAAAACAACTTCATATATATATAAAAATTTTTTTAAAAAGATTTTTTTTTTTTGATATATATATATTACAAAAAAGTTTTCGTCAAATTTGTAGTTTGTTGAATGGGGTAAAGAGATATGTCATAAATTGAGAAATCGTGGATATTGGGCTGACCTAACGGATCCTTGTTCTGGATACCCGGTAATCTTTTTTTATTTTATTATTTTCTGAAGCTTTAAAAAATTTTTAACAAAAGACTTGCTTTGATCAAAGGTTTTCTCTGAGCCTGGACCAGCAATTTATCCGGACGTTCAAGGAGCCGTAGAACTATTAAAATATGACCTTCATAATGCAGGTTGTTGTCATATTTTATTGCATCCTAAATGGGGAAGTAAAGTGTATCCTGGAACTTTATTCACCACTGCCAATGATTTAGTGCTTAAGCAAGTGATTTCCGAGTGTATTGTTATTTAATTTGCTTTGGGTTTTCTTTGTGTATTTGAAAAACCAGTATTTTTATATTTATTATTTTACTTATTACTAATGTTTGATTTTCAGAGAGAATTCGAACTAACGCATGATAGATATTTTTCTCTTTAAATAAATCTAACAGAAAATACTCAATAAAATTAATTTAAACCATTTGTATGTAATAATAATGTTGAATATATTTAATTTATTTTTTTTTTTCTCACATCACTAATAATTATTTGTATTTGGTGAGCATAAAACAATAATACAAGAATGTTAACCCATATATATACAATACGATATATACTAATATATAATATAAAAACCCAGTTGATGTAAAAAACCATGTATTAAGACACAAATTACAAATCTTCCATCAATATTTTAAAATAATGTTGCCTTCATCAGTTGAAATATACACATTTGCCTTTCCATCACCCGCCTTACCATTTTTAGCGAGTCCATATATCATTTCATCATTTATGCTAATGCGACCTTCGTTTGTCCGAACTTTATAAACGAATGAACTATTAACCTGTTGTTAAAATATAAAGTTAAATAAATTAATAAATAAGAAATATTTTTAATAACTCATTTAATTTTATGATTTATTTTACTTACCATCGTTAATCCAACATTTCCGTTAATAGTTTGTACGTTGACCATTGCATTTTGAACATTTCCCAAAAATAAGCTCACATCACCTTCATCGGTCGAAACCATAAGTTCTTTTACAAGTGATAGTATTGATCCTCCAACAAATCCTTCCCTGGTTTTAATGTCGATTATATTTCCATTGATTTCCTCTAATAATATATTTCCATCGTCAGTAGATAAACCTATGTTTTGTTGATATGGTTTATTATTTTCATCTTTAACAAGTTTAAGGTTCAGATTCTTGACTTGAATATTATTCGGGATTGGGTTTCCAGCATTGACTTGCGGTAGGATTACATTAATTTTCAATAGCATACAACGTGGTGGAATGTTGAAAACACCAAATCCAACTTTTTGGAAAACTTTCAATTCAAAACTATCGAATTGAATCTTTGTTTCAAATTGAGGGGTAATTCTATCGCTACTTCCAGTAAACACTTCAACAATAACATTGGTTTCTTCTGGTGATGGGTTTTGTAAAATATTAACTCCATTTAACTAATAGAATACAATTCAACAATTCAAAATTTATTACACATAACATAAAATAAACCTACTAAATATAAATTATAATAAAAAATACCTGACGTCGAGAATCATCCACATTGAGTTTGAGTATCAAGTTTGGATCAAAGGTGAATTTTTCCGGAATATCATTTAATTTGATTTGATTACATGCTTTGTCATTTGCTAACGAAATCGACTAAAGACAAGATGTTCGAAATGTATAAATTGAAAATTTTATTATAAACGAGTAATATACGAATATTATATTTACATATATAATATAATAAATATTTACCCCTAAAATTATGAATATAATCAAGACTAACCAACCGTAACAGCAAGCTTTATTCCGACTTGAAAATTTGAAACAGCATATTCGATATCCTAATTAATCTTTTAATTAGTTTATCACGTTATAAATGTGTATTAAATTTTATGAACTAGCTTCGTACCAGCCTTTTCACTAGGATTTGCGGAAGCTGTTTGATAACTTTCTGCAGTAACTATTGGATTATAATTATGATTCTCTGCCACTGGCACTGTCGGTGGCGAAAATGAAGGAGGAGAATATGATTGATTATTTGGTGGATAACCATAGTTATAGCCTGGTTTTACAACATCATCGTAGGCTGGTGGTGGCGCAGCGACCGATGAACCGAGTTCATGATGGTTCTTATTTTCCTCTGCTAAAAACGGGTTATTTGACATTTTAATAATTCACTCTTGATAATAATATAATAAATGTGAAGTATTTCCTTTATATATATATATATATATATATATTTTTATATATTTATTTATATATATATTTAAAGAAAGAGGAAAAGGAAACAAATTGAAATTTTTGAATTTTGAAAAAATGCCAAGGATTAACCTTTATAAAAAAAACTTCTATGATGATCAATGCACATATATAGGATTTATTATCAAAACTCCATGTATATTTTTAAGATAATCTAGGTTGAATTAGGGAAAAAATTACAACAGGTTTATTAAAACTATATATAGGAAAATAAGGATTATGATGCTACAGCAAAGAAATTTTCAAAATTTTTCATCTTATAATCGGAATCTACTTCAGTACTTTCACTATCATCGTCGTCGCTGTTATTTGTTTCCTTTGTCGCTTCTTCACCTGATTCCTCTAAATTGACAGATGCTTCTTCTAAATGATTAGCTTCATCTTCCAAACGAATCGCTTCTTCTTCCATTTTTTTTGCAATATCTTCAGGTTTCATGTTTATGTATTTTGTGACCAACTCAAAAACCTTTAGTGGAATGAGATCAATTTCATTACGATATAAAACCATCGTCATCATAACTTCACAAGGTGGCAATAACTTTTCGGGAATTTTTTCAAGAATTTCTTGAGGGAATTCAGCTTTGGGACTTTCGACCACACATTTATACATCTTTTTAATTTGATAATGAGTACAATAATCAAGGTCAAGGTGCAAGTCCATACGACCAGGACGAATACAAGCAGGATCAAGATGTTCCACGTGATTTGTCGTCATGATGATAATATTCCCTTCGGACAATATATGACCATCCAAAAATCCCAAGAAAGTTGATAAACTAAATTTGGAACCATGATCCAATTTTGGACCTATGCCTTCATCCTTTTTATCCTTTATATCGGAAGTATTGATAGAATCTGACGGGAACCAATTTCCAGTTCGTTTATGAAGAACTTTTGATTGTGTGTCAACATCTTCAAGCACAATGATTTTATTGGGGGGAATTTCACTAAATGCGGAACTTAATTCATTATCATTTTTAATGTTTTTGAGATTTAAATAATAAATATCGCGAGATAATTGTGAAGAGACAGCATTTATCAAACTTGTTTTTCCCGTTCCCGGCTTACCATATAATAGGATACCTCGTCGATAAGGCATTCCAATTCTTTCGTAGAAACTTTTATCGTTTACGAACGTTTCTAATTCTTTTCTTATTAATATTTCATACGGTTCATCTAATGCAACAGTGTCCAAACCTTTATTGTAAGGTAAAGTTTGAACGCAATCCCAATACGTTTCAGTTCGTTCAAACCTAGAACGTTCTTTCAACTTTCTTTGATGTTCCTTATGAGCTCGCGTAACTTCGTTTAAAAATTCCGATATGGCATTAACGTTTGTATTCGAACCCTCAACGGTCGTCAAATAAATCGAAGGTTTTATCGGTTCGCTATTATTACTATCATCATCATTATTATTAATAACTTGTTCGGGAAGATTAAATTTAACATTGAAATTTTTGCCTTTAAACTTGATGGAAATTTGTTGATTGTTCCCTGGAAGTACGTTAAAATTAGGAGGAGCGCAATCGTCAATTTTATTATTAGACATAGAATTAGTAGGTTGTACGATAAATGAACCGGTATTTAATGATTTTGTTTGTTGAGAGATTATCCAAGACAGAGCTTCGTAAAGTGGATTTGGGTATAAATAACCATAGGTTCCTGCGATATAAGATTCAACCTGAGCTGTAATATTGTTTCTCGTTCTCAATGAACCTTCTTTAATGATAGAACCAGATAATGTGAATAATGCAAGGACCAAAGCGCTGATTCCAGACGCTAAAACACTTGTCAAAAACATATCTACAGCCATTATTCCGGACAAGTATGATTCTAATTTTGTTGGGAGCCATGCCAAAAGAATGGTTTGCACTTGCGATTGAGTGAATAAATCAATGAGAGGTTGAAAAATTTCGGAATAAGTCATAATCTTTTTTAAAAAATATTATTGATTTATTTATATATATAATTTTTTTTATTTTTTTTTTTATTGGGGACTCAATTATTATTATTATTATTATTATTATCTGATTTTTCTTTTTTTCTCTTAGGAGATTGTGATTGCTGGCTGTTGTTCGTTCAAGCCACTTTTTATTTCTTTTTTCTCCGCAACTTGAAACTCCGACAATTCCGATCAACGAACAAAAGACTTTGAAAGATGAAAAATTGTGCGTAGCAATTTCACATTATGCGTAGTACACCCATTTGAAGAATGAAAGATACGCCTATCACGCAGCAATTCTTTTGATGTTGAACTTACTCCGTAAAAAGGTGTAAGAAAATCCGATGCGCTTATTTTTTTTGAAATGCTGACTTGAACTTGCAGGATAGTTTGAAATTAAACATATTGAATAATTAAAATAATAAGTATTTATCATCCCAAGGAAGAAAAGTATAAAAAGACACATTAAATTAAATTTGCATACCCACAAAAATTTTGACAAATTACAAAAAAGCATTCAGTATGACCGTATATATTTGATTCACCTTTAAGAAGCGAAAAATTCTTGTGATTTTTAAAATCAACGAAACTAGTTTAGTCTATATCCTTCGATTTCAGAAGTTTTGACAATAATTATAACGTCATACGCTTCTCCCAACACCTCTCAAAATCACAAAGAAAAAAAAAATTTTTTTTTATTGCGTTTGCTGATTTTTTTTTACTATATAAAGAAAGAAAAATTTGATATTTGTAATCATCTGTTTCATTATTTTGTTATCATTAAATATTGAGGCTTTTATACATATTTGGGTGCTCCGGGATTCGATTTAACATCATCTATAATTTATATGGCTAATCATTTTAAAAAGAATTAAAAACGTAAAGAAAATTGACCGATCAATAAATAAAAATAAATAGAGTTTCAAATTTCTCGTCTTTTTTTTTTTTCGAACGTAAGGGAAATAATGACTTTAATTTCTTCTCCAGTGATCATAGATACCGATCCCGGTATGCATATACTTACTTCATGAATGAATTCATTCATGTTTAATAATCCTACAATTCTACAATTGATTGACAAAACAGGTATCGATGACGCGCTCGCTTTATATCTGGCTCTAGCGTCACCTCAATTGGACATTAAAGCTATTACAGTTGTATACGGTATGGTGATTATTTTGATATGATTCTTCAAGATCACATTTTAACTTGAACTTTTTTTTTTTTTTTTAAAAAAAACAAGGTAATTCAAGTATTAAAGACACAACGAGGAATCTCATAACTTTATTTGATGTTATTGATAAGGAAATCGAATATTTTAAAAATGCATCACCTCCCAACAATGATCTTCATCCAGAAGAATGGGAAAGGGAAAGACGCATTCTTTTAAATAGATTCGAATGGTCAAAGCCCGTGGTTGCAATAGGTTCGTCAAATCAACCTTTTATTTTTATCCATTTTATCATTGTTTTTTAATCCCCTTATCAAATAAAGGGGCGGATAAACCCATGAAAGCTACGGAGCATCTTGCGGTAGATTTTCATGGCTTAGATGGATTTGGTCAAATACATACAACGGTAATTTAAAGAAATTACAATGATTATTATTAATTTATTACAATCTTACAATCTTCTAACCTTTTTATCTTTAAAAGCATCCCCATTACACACCAAAGGATTTAAAGAATTTAAAATCCAATAGATACGTAATGTCATCTCAAGATGCGATCGATGAAATCTTAACCCAATTAAAGAACGCACCTCCATTCACGATTACGATCATCGCTTTGGGACCTTTGACGAACCTTGCGTTAGCCTATAAAAAGGATAAACGTACATTCTCTCGGGTTAAACAAATTATTTGTTTAGGGGGTGCAATTAATTCTCACGGTAACACGACTCCTTGCGCGGAGTTTAACTTTTACGCGGATCCCCATGCCGCAAATATTATATCTGAAGCTACCAAAGGTTTTTCTCCATTGATTACTGTTCAAAATAAAATTGAAAGGTTGCGTCGAAGGGATCTTGTGCCATTACATTTTACCGTGTTACCCATAAATGGTATTTATATATTTTGACCCATTATAAACAAACCTTTCTTTCTTCCATTATTATTTTTTTTTTTTAATTTTGAACTCTTCTTTTGTTTTCAATTTATAAAAAAAAAAGTATCATGTTCATTTCTGTTATCAAGCAAGGATTTTACAAATTATGTTACATCTTTAAATACACCTCTTAGCATATTTATGACCGCATTTATGGACTACGCGTTTAACAAGATGAGAAATTATTATGGAGTTTATAGTTTAGAAATGCATGATCCGGTCGCGGTCGCATTTGCGATCGACATCCTATCAAATAAATCTCTGGCATACACCTCGGAATATGTTGACATGAAGATTGAAACTCAAGGGATTTATACGAGAGGAATGACCATAGTTGATAGTAGACCGAAACCTCCTTCATTAGATTTAAATAAGAGCAAAACTTTGGAAAGGGATTTTGGAATTTGGAGTCACCTTTATGCAACAAATGTTGAAGTTATAACTTCTTACGATTATAAGCTTTTCATTGGTGATTTTTTAAAGAGAGTTTTTAATGTCGATCTCTTTGAATATTAAAAAAAAAAAATAATAATTTTTTTTTTTACAATTATTTTATTTAAACTACTTCATCTAATGTAATAATGTATTTTGGAAAGTTTATCTCAACTTTTAATCGGTAATACATAATAAATCTTACACACGCTACATGGAATATATATATATTATATTTTTCAAAAAGAATCACAAATTTCTTTCACGATATGACCAACTTTTTCAAAGTCATCAATGTCCGTGTAGATCTGTGCGCTAGCTCTTATATACCAATGACCATTATGTTCAAATATCGCGACGGCAAAATTATAATTATTTAACATTAAATCTATGAATTTCTTTTCCGAAAATTCTTTATTTGATACAAGAATTGGTAAACGTATGTTAACCATGTTTTGTATAACGTTTTCCGGTCCAATTATTTCCGTACCAAGGATAGAAGCAATCTTTTTTCCTCCTTCGATGGCCAATTTTTTACAATAATTACGTATCTTTTCTTCACCACCAATCTTCTTTCGAAATTCCAAAGCGGCGTGAATCGTCAAGTAGGAACTAATATATATATATATACTCATAAATAAAAATTGAATTTTGTATAGCAAAAGCAATAAATCCGCCGCTTACCTGAAATCTTGAGTTCCAGTCCAAGAAAATTCGGGAATAAATCCATCAGCTGTAAATGGACTGGTAACTGTCGGATGAATTTTTTTCTGATGTTTAAGAGGAACGTATAAAATTGCCGAACTCCTGGCGGTATATAACCATTTATGACAATTGGTCACAAAGAAATCTGGATTAATCTCTTTTATGTCTAAAGGAATTTGACCGATCGCATGAGCTCCGTCAACGATTGAAAGGATATCATTTTGCCTCAAGATTGGAATCAAACGTTGAAAAGGAAAGACAACACCTATTAAAAACAAAAAAAAAATAAAAATATAATAATAATATTTTTATCATCATTCTACGATGATTTATTATTCATTTTATCAAGATCAAATTTTTTTATTATAAACAAACCAGGATTAGAAGATATGGAATCGATTACGGCCAATTTAATCCTCATATTTGGTTTTTGATTTTCCTCTTGAATAACTCTAACGATTTTATCAATCAAGTCATCCTCAGACAAAGGATAATTCGCTTCAATTTCAACCAGTTCAACATTTTCATGATTGTTCTCCTGAATGAACATTAATAATTCCCTAATGGAACTATAAACCGTTGATAGATAAAGTAATTTATCACCTTTTTCATACTTTAAACTTTTTAAAATCGCATTGATACCGGTCGTAGTATTCTGTACGAAAACTATTTCATTTACTTCAACGTTAATGAATTTCGAAACGGTCTCCCTCGCTTTATGCAATTCCGATTCTAAATCCCTACGCATAAATTTATCTGGATTAGATTCAATCTTATTTTGATACCCTTGCAAAGCTTCCCTAACTACTTTAGGAAAGGTTCCGTAAGATCCATGATTAAGTGGTATGTAATCATCTTCCAAAAGAAAATGTGGACGCATTGAACGTCCAAATTCAAATGTCGATCCTTCATTAGGCATGATTCTTGAAGAAAATGGATGGTTATTAAAAGTTATGTTTATTATCAAAGATAAAAAAAAAAAGGAGGAAAATATATATATATATATATATATAAAAAAGGAGAGGGGGAGACAGATATATAAACAATAGGGAAAATGATCAACCTATTATACTACCCAATAGAGGTCACCAATCATTTCACTGAGAGAATTTCTATGGAGTGTTTGGACGTAATGGTTTTTTTTATGACTCCCATATTACCTAATTTAAAATGTATTATTATAAAAAAAAAGAAATTTTTTTTTTTTAGCAACCTTCACAAATATAAACATTTTTATTATTAAATCTTCGTTTATTATAGAACTTTAGCGAAGAAAATTAAAAATAAATTGATAATAAATAACTTTAATTTATAAATTTCGCCAACTTAATGTAAAGTACAATCAAATAAAATTTATTTTAAATTTGATTAATCGGTGTTATCGTTTGACACGATTCAATTTAAAAGTAATATTAAATGCTTTCGTAAAATTAACCACCTTATAAAATATTACATGTATGGAAATAATTACATGGTATATAAAAACCAAACGTTCCGTACATAGAAAACCAAAACCATCCCATATGTGATTGCTTTATGCCCATTTCTATGAAACGACGTTCGGCACATACATGCACATTACACATACATTACACGTATCAACAAGTTATTGAAAACTTTATTTAAAAAGAAAGAAATATATATATACACATGATGAAATCTTACGACCCGTTCACTTTGTGTAATCTGATGGTGGCAAGGAAGTGGTAGAAGGGTGATTGACGACCAAAGAAGCTGCCTCCTCATTGCTATGATGATCCATTGAAGTTCTGGCGTGTAATCGAGTTGAATTAAAGGAATTCTTTGACGTATCATCCAAGAAGCTATTTTCGAAACTCGTGTTGGTGTTGTTGCGGTTTGACTCTAAAACTCGCAGAGGTTTCTCCACTATCGGTAAATTATGTTGATCGACATTTTTAGGTTGCGTAGGAACCGGTGTAAACCTTGTAAACAAATAAGATTTATATTTTACAATATAAATACATCCGACTAACATAACAACGAGTATGATTAAAAATATTATCAATACTATCACATTGTTAGATAAAGGATGTGAAACGCTGATATCAAATGGCAATGTGAGAGGGGATTCTTTGGTATCTGTTAAATTGGAATTATTCGGTGAAAAATTGGAATTATCATTGGTTTCATTATCATCGGTTTCTTGACCGAATGATGAAGTTAATATGATGAGGAATAAAAATGTATCAACAAAGAAATTTAAATGATACATTTTGTGTCAATAATAAAAAAAAAAAAAAGAATAAATGAAATTTCTGTGTGGAAAAGTACTGATCATATTATATATTATATATATATATAATGTGGCTATGCCTGTGATCTTCACAAGGATTGATATCAAAGCCTCGCAAAAAAAAACCCATCCATATCATTGCGGTCCCCGTTCCCGTTTGGCTTCTAAAAATAAAATAATGAATAATAGGCGACTTTTAAAGACAGTCAAAAATTGGAATACCACAAACGTTTAATACCATTACTTCTAAACAAATATGTTAATCTATTGATCCAGGTCACAAATTTTATTAAATGAAAACGCCCTAAATCAATTTGTAATTCATTTTTCAGGTTAATGTCAGTATCAATTTGTTTTTTATTCTTGCTTTAGTTATAATATCATTTATTTACAATGGTATATAACTTGGGTTAGGGTCACAGAGATGGCTGTTATAAAATTTTAACAACAAAACTAGAGTAAATTTTTTAAAATTTTTTGAAAGATATGAATTGATCTCATTGGTGAAGAATGCTTATTTCAAGTAGTAACAACGATTTAAATATCATCAATTAGTTCGATTATCTTCAATATCATTAGGACCTTTATAAAACCGATCATACCGTTATAAATAATAAACCAAAGATGATGACAAAGATGAATGATAATTTTTTTTAATAAAAAATCGAAAAATATTTGAACAGCGGCGGTTATTGCAATTTTATATTGCACCTTATCACTTGATAGGACTTCCCCCCCCCCCCCAAAATAGGAAGAAAGCGAACGTAGAATCGTAGGATGCGTGTGATACATCTATGCACGAGATAAGATCGTGAGGGCAAATCCCTTAGGTTTCGACGTACCGTCGAGACTATTATAGTCGAAATTAGAATCAATTTATAAAATCGTCGAAAGTCGAGAAGCTACCGTTATGGAAGTAACAAAGCCTCAGCAAGAGTTATTTTACAGGGAAAGCCTGTTTCTAGTTTTTAATTCATCAATTCATCAATTGAAGTGAGGTACAGTATATTCGAAATATAGGGTTCTACTTTTGCCATTTGCTAAAATGAATTTTTTTAGATATGAATTGCAAAATGGCCTTATCGGTTCTATTGGTTTTTAAAACGCTTGCTTGATAATTTACTTTAACAAAAAAAAAACCATTGGTAATTTGCAATTTATTTGATCGATTGATTTTTTAATCGATTTATTTATATGGTAACTAGGACAATTCGAGATGATAATTGGAATTCACAGCCAAGTTTTATTAATGTTTTACCTTTTCCTATAGCTTGTCTCAGACTTATTTATATCTTAACGGATTCTAGCTAAAATAAAGAATCAAGTTCATTAAAGAAATGATTGATATCAGTGAACTGCGCCCAAATCTTAAAAAAAAAATGATTTAATGTTAACAAGTACTTTTTTTAATCTATTTTTGTGCAAGAAATGTTAATTATCAATAACATTAACCGGAATATTATTGATTATTATCATCATCATCATTATATATATATATTTTTTTAGAAACTATGAATACAAGTATTAATACAAGAAAAAATCTCAAAACCAAATTATTTTCATTATATATTAGTGGAGTCAGTCGTTTTCGTTATTTCAATAGTTGATGACCTTAAATTCTTGGAAATCTTCCTTGGTGAATTTTCTTTAGTTATAACATTATCTAACAAAGTTTCATCGGTTTTTAGAGAAGAGGCAGAAGTACTTATATTAGTAGAAAGAGCGGTGCAAATGCTGGTAGTATTTGAACGATCAATAGTACTCCTCTCCTGATCCGTAGCAATTTCTTCAATGATATCATCATCTTTTAACGAATATTGAAATTCATCGGTACTACAAATAATCCCAGCGTCGGATAATCTCTTATTATAACTTTCAGTGCTAATACTGCCTCGACTACTTTTACCATTAGCAATACTGCTAACATTACTATGATCATAATTAGCGGAAACTATGCTATCTCCAACCAATTTACCATAAGGTAATTGTTTGATTTTTTGCGGCAAAACGTTATAATCTTCGGGATCTCTTAATAAAAAGATTGGCTCCCCGGTGACTTCATTTCTCCCCAAGAAATTACCCTTATTTAATACCATTATTTGTTCAGCTAAATCGGACCCTTCACTTAGGCTACTATTAATATTATTATTACTACTATTCCCGCCAGAAAAGATTCTTAACGCTTCACTGGCATATCTACTACTGCCGCTCATTTTACTACTACTATTTCTTTTGCTATCATTCGAATTTTGTCCGCTATTAAAGAAACTCCTTTTTGGTTTCTTTTTAAGAAAATCCTCAGAAAATGATGTAAACTTTGGTAACGGGTCCAAACTAAACCTGAAAGAAGAATGATTTGAATCTAAACGATCTGATTTTTTCTCAAACGTTTGTTGTGGAACATTGGATTTATGATATTGAACATAATAAGATATCGAACCATATAATTTTGTTAAGAGTACTAATATGCAAAAAGATAATGCTAATATTGGGATTATATTTGGTAATATCGTGTACGCTTGATAGAATATCTGTTATGAGGAGAGGAAAAAAAAGATTCAGTTATACAATTTTTTTTTTTTTTTTTTTTTTAGTGATAATAACAATACTCACTAGGATTAATAATTGAGGAAGATCTTCGATCAAAATAATGATCGTGTTGAAAATAAATATATGATGCTCCGTTCTATTCGTAAAAGGGGCATTTAATCCCACTAAACCAGAGCATTTCGAGGATATACAATTTAATGCTTCTAAATCAGCAACGGCGAAAATAGAGGTAAACACTAGGGCCGTTTTGGAATTTTTTATCCACCATCTTGAAAATCTATTATTATTCTTAATTTCTCGACTCATTATTATGTATGTGAATGAACAATTTAATAATATCGGTATTACTATAAACACGATGCATGTTGGAGATATCCAGGGTAAATCATTACCATGAATTATTATGAATGCAATATCTAATGCAAAATCTACTATTATAAATGTGAATGTAAATATTATTTTATTATTCGCCTCGCCGTCTTTCTTGCGTGCAATATAATATATCACGAATAATATTATGAATCCAAGTGCCACCCCTATCATTATGTAAAAATATTTCTTCAAATCCGCTAAACAAAAAGAAGAATTGCTTAATTAAATCACTCGTTAACGATAAAGCAACCCACATCTTCTCTCCACTTACGTGTTAATTTTGCACCAAAAGACGCGTCTAGAAGGGACGTGACCATTACCGTTGACATTGCGTTATGGTCTCTCATTCTTATTAATAAATCCAGATCATTGACGATTTGGGATGAACTAACATCCCCCTCACTCTTTTTAATGTATACCCGAAGTAATATATGATTTGTCGATAAATCTTTGTCGAGTTGATATTTACTCGTGGTTGATATACGAGTCGCGTCACATGGAATTACAAGTGATAGTCGGTAAGATAATTCCTTTGAGAATTGACGTTGATCATTAGTTGATAGGGACATAAAATATTTTGTTCCGAGGTAAGTTAGTCTTATAATTGCACTTGTAGAGCCGATAAATGATTCATCCATATACAACCCATTATTATCTAATAATGAAAAAAAAAAATGAATATTTTAGTCGGAAATTCCCTCCTATCATTTCCTTCAAATTTTTTTTTTTACGTACTTGTAGACAACTTCCAAACGTTTTTTCTAATGCCCAATAGTGCTTGATCAAGGTTGGCATCTTTAACAAAACCATTATCAACCAAGATATAATACGGAGAATTTTTCCTGTTAAAGGTAGTTTCCATCACATCAATTTCCACCGTATGATTATCGATCAATCGGATGAAATTTCTCTTATCTTTATTACTATTAAAGGTTTGCCTTACAACTTTATTATTCACGTCAATTATAGATAGGTTCCCATTTGATAATTGTATGTGATTCGTGTATTTAATTTGTAATTTTTGGGTTGACATTAATGTGACGATTGAATTAATTGATGGAATGGTGGATCCTACAAACGCATTTCCATACCCTCCCGGACCGCCTGGAATCATGGAATTACCTCCCTGTATCGTGCTATAACTTGAGAATAATGAGGAAGTAACTAAGGTCCACTTGTTCCCATCATTCGCGATGACCCAAATCGTATTGTTTGGAAATACGCCAACGTTTTTAGTGAATTGATATTGATCCGCTGGCATGTCCCAATCACTATAGAAGGTTCCTCGATTACTGTATATAATTCCATGGATATCATTGTTTGAAGGATTTTCGGTTATTATAATTAAACCGCCAAAATATAATGATAACACATCCCAAACGAATACATTGACCGTTGATCCAACGGCCTCATCGTCGATAGTAAATTCTGTAGTATTTAAAATGGATCCCGAAGATAAGAAGTCTATATTTACAAAAACTTTCTGCCCACTTGATCTTATGATATGTATTATACAACTATATCCGTAAGAATAATATGCTATGTTACATTTATATATGTCTAAACGTCTTACATTCTCCGTTGTTTGCGAATAAATTTGAAATGGACCTTTTAGGGTATTGGATGTCGAAGGGATGAACGCGATGTGAATGGTCCATGGGGGGATAAATTCCGCATCAGATTTTGCTTGATATTGTGCCATCACTATACCGTAACCTCCATCTTCGGTTGCGAAAAATTGGGTCAGATTTCGGGTAAATTTATTTACGTTCATCAAGGATCCCGATGCCAACGACTCGAAAGATCCCGAATCATCACTACGTAAAAGAAGTGGTGGACGATGTTAGTTAAACGCAAAGCATGCCACTAACATGAATCGAGGAAAACATTAATCGTTCATTACTTACGGTATATTAAATTTTTGCCAATTCAATTGATCTGACCCTTGCTTATGACATAACCACAAGAATCCTACTGAATTGATATTTCGAACGATCTCACTATCCGTACATGCATCTCCTAAATCCTTGACACTATTTAATCGAAACGTGAACTCGTGAGAAATTATGCAACAATATTTATAAAACATATATATATATATATATATAATTCTTACTTTAGGATGGTTCCATCCCAATTGATTGTCATCCCACATAAATTGAAATTCAATGATAATCCACAATAATACGTGACCATTATATATCCAGGTGATAATGCGTAAACTTTTATATAATCTTTTATCAAGTTGTTTGGATTCGTCGTTGTTAAGTCATTTAATGATGGAAGAAATGACGTGTCCGAAACTCTATTGTTGTCAAGCAAGCAAAAATTATCCAGGGGAATTCGAGAAACATCAATGTTAAGTTCTTTAATCGATCCATCTAAATGAATTAACCTTAAAAATAATTTTGATTCTTTACAGTTGTTTGATGGAGGGGAAAATCTTAATAAAATTGTGCCATCATCATAACTTGCTTGTGAAATGATTTGAAATTGAGTGATGGAATCCGCGTAAGAAATTGATTGTATAGTCCCGCTAGAATCTATTGTTGCTGCGGATACATTATGTAAGAATGACACCAATAGCAGTAAGATTGCTTTCAATAAACTATGATATTGCACGTTTTTCATTCTAAAAAATATATTTATATCGCATTTATATCGCAAAAAAAAAAAAAAAAAAAAAAAAAAGGTAAAGGCGAAAAAGTTAAAAAATGAGTAAAATTTTTTTTTTAATCTTTCTTTTTTTTTATTTTTATTTTATTTTTTTTTTTTGTTGTGGTAAGAGAAACTAAAAATAATTTAAATGGTTAGGCTCTATTTAACTTTTTCCCGTAATCATAGAAGTCGGATGCCATCATAAATACCTGGTTTATTATATTACGGGTTGTACAAGATTCAACTCGAACGCAGGTTCTATGTGCATTGCGTTATTTATTTATTGTTTGATTTTTTTTTTTATAAGAGATATTTATTTTAAAAAAAAATAAAAATAAAAATGAAAAAAAAAAAATTTAATATTTCATTATTTGATTTAAGAGAAATTTCTAAAGATAGGTCATTTCATTGTCAAATAGCCAAACGGATTCCCGAAAAAAAAAAAAAAATTTCACAATGAAGCCTTTTTTTTGTTCATCTAAACTTTATTTGATAGACACAAACACATCATATCATCAATGGAGAAGAGATAATGCTGCGGAATGTTGCGCAGCACTTAAATTTGCAAGTAACAAACAGGAATGAAAGGAAAGGATGTCAATTGCATAGGGATTTTGCATAACCTATTGTGCTAACGGTAACGGTAAATTTTAAATTGGAATGAACCTTAATTTGGTTCCAATTAACTAAATGTCGTGTTCGTGCTAAGGTTATTAAATCGTCTCATGAAAACGATGGACATTTTTTTTTCTTTTTTGGAAAAAATTGTTGCTTGTTCCAAGATGATGATTCAAACGTTTCATCAAACAAAGGTTTTTTTTTCCGTTTCATGTTTTCTTTGTGATTCGAATCTTGTATAATGAATTAGCGATTCCCTCAATAATCAATGGAGATCGAATTGGAACAAGTTCTTCCCTAAATTTGGAAATCACCTAGAAATTACTAATATGATCCCATTATTCGACACATACCTTACAAGGATTAATTAGATTCCATGTAATTTCCTTGATTTATATAATACAAATAATTTTAAAAAAGAATGTTGCAAATATGAATCGAAATTATTGATTCGCTAATTACAAGTTTGATAACATACTTTATTTTATTTAATTTATTTATTTGGAATTTTTAATTTCGGGAAAAATATATTTTATAAATGACGATAACTTTAAATACTTGACTTTATCCGATGCATGTAAAAATGATTTATATAAAAAAAAATCTTGAAAAAAAAAAGCAAAACAAATGCTCGAGCACGCCACACCGAATTTCAAAAATGTTTACAAGTCTGACTACGTAAATTCAGGGTTGGAATGCAGAGTACTCTATATACAATCACCGTGTTTTAGAACATCGGTTCTAATAATCGATTCGAACATCAAACAAGCATTTCTAATGAGATTTGAGATGAAGGATTGTGATATACTGTAAATAATACGTAAAGTATATGAAAAAAAGGTTCTCCCTCTTTATTTTGAGTATGTATCACGTGATAATATAATAATTCACGCCCGTGACGCAAAAGTATTATGCTTCTTGATTGACATTTCTGTGAAACTCAAATTTGGTATCTAACTTGATAGTCATTTTTGTGTTACTTTAATTAGAGTAACATAATACAAACGTTTTAAAGAACATTTCGATAATAAGTTTTAAATAATTAACGTGTCCTTTATGCGCAAATAATATAAATACGCGAGAAGGTTTATATTTTTTTTTTAAAAAAAATCCATGTATTTCATATTATTTCGTGTGATATTATATTCTAAGTTGTATTACGTTATTGATCTATCAAGAAGTATACCAAATTGAGTTTCACAAAAATGTCTATCAAGAAATATACCGAATTTGGGTTTCACAGAAATGTCAATCAAGAAAGTCCTTTAAGTTCGGAGCAAAGTGTAACGAAAGTAACCAATCACGTATCGACTCAATTTTTGAGCGCGCTCCGGACTAATAATCTATGATTTATTATCCTAAAGTTTTTTTGAATCTGATGTTAATAAAAGGTATTTGCTTTTTGAAAATTAATATTATTTATTAAAAATATTTAATTTAAAATGAAAATTTTAATGATTATTCCCAAAATTTATTTACTCAATTCTTTTTCAAGCGTGGGGTTTTCTCGAAGCAAAACTTAATTCAAACGGATTTGAGAAACAATCTAAATAGTGAGACTTTAAATCTGTTAATAACGATTTTATTAAACCGGATATTTTCCGTTTAATTTTATTTATCCAGAAAACTTTGTCTATTTTATGCCCTGCTTTTAAATCAACAAATAAACGTGTTTTGATTCAAAAGAATTCAAATAACTTTTTTTACGACAATTTAATAAAAACTAGTTTGTCAAATTTAGTTTCGTTCAAAAACACTATACAAACATCCATCTTTAAATTATATGATGTGTTCCTATTGACTCCTCATTAGTTGATTAATATTTAGAAATGATTTGCGTTACAAAAATATGAGAAGTCACGTGGTATGGAAATTCCCGAAAATCGAAAAATAATCTCATCTATCGAATGTCTTGCTTGGTCAAAGTCCTGCATATAATTTATATCTCAACTTCTCAACCTTATTACTCCTTCACATCCATTCATTCATTTTCTATCCTCCTATGATCGTTACCTTTATCTCATTTCCTCTACTAAATAAACTCGAAACAATCCACACGTGGAAATTTGTTGTCCGTGAAGATTGATTGGTTCCGCTTGGAATCTCAAATATTATAAAATTTATATGTACCACATGTACAGTCAAATGCACTCTATATAAATACACACCATGCACCATTTAGCTTAGTCCCAAGTTTGGGAATTAATGCTAAATACACCTTCTTGGTGCAACAATTTTTCAATTCCGGTTATATAATAATTTTTGTATATATGCACAATCACGTGACTTTATATAATTTTAATATTGTAAATTCCTTTTAAAGTTAATAATAAAAGAATATTTCATTGAGAAAATTATCTATAATTGCTATATATATAATATAACACAATAAAATTTATACTTTTTATAAATGCACACCCTATATAAATGCATATATATATAGAGATTGTATCTACACGTTTTTATGTATATCACGCATAAAAAATAGGTCAATCATTAACAATTTTAGCAGTGCCTAAACAAAATGTCAACTTTCAATTTAAATTTTTTCGTTAAACAGGAGGATCTGCTTTTCTAATATGACCAGTATTATTTTAATTTCTTTTTCACTGAAAGAATCTAAAAAAACGGCTTTTTTTTTTCTTTTTACTTTCAATCCTCTTCACACCCCCTCCCCCTCTTTTTCGTAATATATAAATATTTAAATACATGTATATTTGCCTCAAACTCTCTATAGAAAAAAAAAATTTATTTTATGAAGCTTGCAGTGCAACTTCCTTTTTTATTTTGGTAGAATAAACTTCTATAATTTTTTTTTTTCAATTAGACGATGAACTGAATTGAACTTAATCTTGCTTAATTTATATAAATCATAAAGACAAAAAAAAAAAATTTTTTTAATTTAAAATTGCTCGAGAAAATCGAATCAAAAAAGGATGATCAGACAACATAACCTTTCCATAGATACCGAAGCCGCGGCAAAAGGACAGAGAGTTAACAATAAATCATCGGCACAAAAAATCCGCAATAACGAGGTTGATTCAGATGATAATAGTTCAGTAGAAGGAAATGATACTTATAGCAATAATATAGATTTGGAAGAGGAAGAAGATATATCTTCTTCCCCTTCAATTCCTGACGAAGACATTAATTTTAGCCTAGTTTACGCTTTACATACCTTTCAAGAGACGGTTGATGGTCAGGCTAGCGTGGAAAAAGGAGAATCACTAACCTTATTAGATGATTCGAATAGCTACTGGTGGTTGGTTAAAGTTTTGAAGACCACAAAAGTTGGTTACATACCAGCAGAAAATATTGAGGTAAGCTACTTTTTATTCAAAACTTAGCGGTTAATGAATGTACGATATTCTAACACGCATGATTATCTTTTTGTAGACTCCGTATGAAAGACTTGCGAGATTAAATAAGCATCGTAACGTTAACGTAAGCCATCATTTACTTTTGAAGAAACTAAATGATGTGTACATGAGTTCCTTTTGCTAACCCAAATGAAAACAATCCTGTTTCTTTCAGTTATCTTCTTCACTTAATAACACGGAAGAGGATTTGAATTTGCTTGCTCAAAAGAAATCACAAGGGAAAGGTGTTTCATTTACTTCACCCATATTTATTGTAGCAGAAGAAGAGGAGGATTATTATGATGATGAGGAATTTTTCGAAGATGCTGAAAATGCTGAATTCCTTGAAGACGGAGAAGAGGAACAATATGATGAAACTTATGAACCCACAATGGAACATGATGAGGGAGAACAAGAAGATGGAAGAGATGAACCGGATGAGATAGAAGTTTTAGATAATCAAGATGTTGAAGGTGGAGAAATTTCAAGATCAAATACAATCAAGACACAAAGCGTTTCAATCGTAGCAAATAATATAGGTCAAATAGCGGGAGTTCGAGCGCAAAATGGTGACAATGTCGAATCGGAACCTGACGTTTATCAAAATGATTTGTCGACAGGACAACAAATATTAAAGGGACCACAAAAAATGAATCAAAGTGCAGGTGATAATCAAAGTACTGATAAACAAACTGGAGATGGAGCTATTAATTCGTCAAAAGAAACTTCAAAATCACCAAAGCCATCAGGTCCAGGGGAAATAAGCCTTGATAACCAGTCTGATGATATAATGATTAACAATAATTCACCCAAAGAAACTCAAATACAACCAGGATTGGGAATAAAACCAACCGCAAAACTAGATATAGATGGCATTAAAGAATCATCCGACACTATAAAAATGACTTTGACTCCTCAATTAGGCAGTGACTTTATTGATTTCTCTGATGACGACGAAGATGTGCGTAGACCTAAGCAAGGAGGCTTTTTCGGAAGGAGTGATAGTAATGATAGTATTAAAGTGCCCACAACTCTTGAAGAATATAATAAGAGTATATTAGCAGAGGTTGCAGAAGAAAAGAAAAAGGGAAAGAAAGATGAAAAGAAAAAAGAAAAAGGGTTCATGAATTTCTTTAAAAGAAAAAAGAAGAATGAACCTGCCAAGCAAATGTCGTCGCCTTCTCCAATTTCCCCTGTCACTTCCTCGCCTGCCGTTAAACCCGTACATCAACCAATTCGACCTCAGCAGCAAATAGATCAGTCACAAATTCAACCGAGATTGGGTTCCATTGCAAATAAGCAACAACGTCCTCAAATTCAAGGACAGGATATGCGGATGCAAGTTCGTCCTCAATCGCCACCACAACCACAAAATATTCAACAACAAACGTATGGATTGCAACCCAATCAAATGCAGCAGGGACAACAACACTTTCAACAACCTGGATATCAACAAGGTCCAGAAGGGCCTAAACGTGATCTACAAAAAAGTAAAATGCAACAAGGTACCGGTCTTATTCGACCTACGCAAGGTCAACCTCAAGGTCAAAAAAGCAGGATAGCTCCATCACCTATACAAGTAAAAGAAGATACTCAATCTGAAAGCTCGGCACCGACGACACCAGCCACACTTTCGAATTCCATGTATAATGTACTTCGTATTTTTTTAGGACAAAATATTCAATCGAATATGGAATTCAAAATTGTATTGTTAAATCAAACTACAACGGCCTCTGGTCTAATCAAACAAGCATTATCCCGATTCAAATTAGATAATGAGGATAATTGGGACGATTACTTTATTACCATTAAAGAAGTTGACGGAGGTATGTATTTTTTATTGAATACTCATCGAGATCTTCTCAATCTCTTCATTACTAACTAAATTACTAATCACAACTTAGATATTATTCAATTAATGCCTCATGATCGTCCCCTCGAGATATTCCAATCGTTAACATCTTCATATATAGTTCCATTACCAACTATAAGAAGAAGTTCAATCTCGTCAGTTTCTTCAAATATTTCCGCCCATACAGCAATAAAAGGTCTAGGATTACATGATGACAAAAATAGCGTCACTTTCTATTTGAATAAAAAAGCAAAGAGAAATAGTCGATCCCTGATTGAAAAGAAATTACGAGTACGTGTTTTAATATATGCAGATGATTTACCTGCTCATTTACGTGCAAAAGGAACAGTTCCAAGAGCTTCTCTGTCTGTGCCAAAACATATTGCTGAAAAAGCTGCACGAAGGCGTTCGAGAGAAGAAGGAAAACCTAAAGAGAAAACTGTATCTGTGACGGGAACTGCTACCGTTAATGATGTATTAGAACGAGCCATGGAAAAATTTGGAATTCTTGATGGTATGGTTGATGATGGTGAGCGAATATTAGAAAATGATGATGGAAAGCCTCGTTATAGTCTTATGGTTATTGTTAATGGTGAAGGTATGTATAATATTTGATGTACTTAATTTTTTTCAGATAATCGTTAATCTTTTAATAAATTAAATTCTTAACAAAAAATCAAATTTTTTTTATTAGAAAAATTATTGAAAACTGACATAAACATAGTTTCAGTATATCCTTCATTACCAAATTTTCGTCATTTATCGATTGATTCTTTGGACTCTAATTCATCAATAGCATTGGATTATCGTCCCGATGAACCAATATTTGTTTTACGACTTTTGCGACCTGAAGATCGTCAGCTACGTTCAATGCCTTCGGTTTCTGAAATAAACCGATTTACTCAAGAAGTTAAAGTAAAAGATCCACCTTCAATACAAAGTTCTAATTTTAATAGTGAATATTTAGGTACTGAAGATAGTGAAGCCTTATCTAAGAAACAATTAATAGAACAGCAACGTGAATATAGTCGAGCCAAACAAAAGTCAATTATTTATGCAAACAAAAATGAAACAGGTGTGGACATTCTTACAAACATTGGTTCTATTAGAAGTTCTAGAATATTCGGATCAAAGGTACGATATTCTTTTATTCCAGCTGGAGGTGAGGTTATCGATATTAGTGAAATTATTGAAGATATTTGGGGTGATGATGAAATATTGAATGTGCCAATTGAATTGGAATCATCCAAGGAAGATTTAGACCCATCATCTAATGAGCTGGAAGGTGTTGCACCTTTGTCTATAAATAAAAAGGAACAATACAGAAGAAGCACTACGCAAGATGTGGATATTTTAGAAAAAATGGTTGATAAAGTTCAGAACAATGACGTGAGAGCATCACAGGCAATGGAAGATAGAATAGAACGTGTATTAAATAAGGTTAGAACTGGTCAATATGGTAGTGATGCAATTAAGAATGATAAATTTAATTCGAAGAAATATCTATCGGTTAAAACCATTGCGGATAATAAATCGATTACTCAATCGAATGGTTCTGTAGATTCTGATTCAGAATATGCTGATGCAACGTCGGTTAATTATGGACGCAAACCAAGTTCTGCTTCCGATTTATCGTCTACTTCCGAATCGTCCTTATCAACGCCCATTAAGCCTTCACTCTCAGTATCATCAGAAAGTGATTGGATACTTACAGATGATTTTGGTTTACAAGAACTATTGATTTTAGTCAGATCAGGTGTAAATATGTTAGAGTTAAAAGAAAGGCGTAGGAGTGGATGGCATTTAAGTGATGATCCAGAGAAGGTTTTAGAACAAATAAAACCTACAGAAATTAGAGATGAAATCAAATCTGTTTTTGCAAACGTTAATGATGAACTTGATAAATTAGAAAAGGTAAGTATCAAAATTATTGATTTACTTTTCTTATATGTTATTATGTTGACTTTTTTTTTCTTTTTAGGAACTGGATCAAATAATGGATGATGCGGTTAGAGTCTTTTAAGTTTAACGTTTAGAATGTCTACCAAGCTAGTTATTCATAAATTTAATTTATTTTAAATCTGAACATTTTATTTAACAATTATATAATACTTGAATCATGTATTTTTTTTTGTAACTTTAATCAACAAAAAATGAATCGAATGCAGTGACCAATATTGTTATTTTCAGTTTATACCAATAAATTTTTGTATTTCGCAAATTTTCACAAAAGGAAATCGAAAACTACTAAGGAATAAAGTTTAAAAATTTTTCAATAAGAGTCCCTTTTAAAATAATTGATATATTTTATGATTAACTACATATAGAATTTATTTGTAATATATATTTTTCTTTAATTAGAAAGAGTGGGGGAAGGCATTGAAAGAGTCTGGTGGGGGAAAGGTAATGAACAAATTGCGTAAAAAAATATTTTTTCATTCATTCCATTTCGTTTATTTATTTATTCATTTGGCATATTGTGTAGTTGTTTCATCAACAAGAAAGCTATCATCTGCTAATATCAAAGAAATACTTTACAAATATGTCAATAATGATAAAAAATTTTGCAAACCACACTCCAACTCATAAAATATCCCTAATGACATAAAAGACATTTGAAATTTGTGAATCATGAAAAGACAATAGTGCAGCTGATGAAAAATATGAACTCATACAAATCAAAAGAATATGCAAAACCTTTATATTTTGCTATTGCTGTAGGAACATTTGTTATGAAGGTTGTAAGACCTGAAATTACAGTTGCAATGATGTGTCATATAATAGATAAGAATTAAAGTATAAGCTTTAAAAGTAAAATTCTGCATAATTCAATTATAATAAACTATTTGTAACAATTATAAAAATGTTATACTGATTTATTCACTTATCTTGCAAAACAAAAATTTCAAAATTTGAGAAATTTCATAAAAAATTTCATAATTACAATTTATTGCAACATAAGCTAAAATTGGTTGTAACATATATAGGTTAAAACTACATATGTTACAACATTAAAAGTTACAATATATTAATTACAGTTTTCATCTTTACTACCTATTATTAATAAATATTACTGATAGAAATTCAACTTTTATATGTAATCTTACCTTAGAATTTTCTTACTTTTTATTTTTATAGTAGATCTTAAAGAATTTTATTATTTAAACCTTATCTAGACTAAAAGTAACCTCCCTTAGTAACAGGTAGGATCATATTGTAATTTAAGAAAACAAATTTTAAGAATTTTTTATTAAAATAAAAATTTTAATTGCATTTTAATTTTTATTACATTTAAACTAAAATATAATAAGATATTAATTTTAATCAAAAATTTCTTAGAATCTAATTTTCTTAGTTACAATCTATATTACCAATTATTAAATTTTTGATGTAATTTTTTCTTATTTTTTAAATAAAAAAATAGCTCAGATCATTCTTTTATAATCAATATCTAATAATACTTAACTAGAATGTAACTAGTTAACATTCTTAAAAGAATGTTAACTAGTTACATTCTAGTTACGTTATAATGTTAACTAGTTACGAGTGTAATGTTAACTAGTTATGAGTGTAATGTTACCTAGTTATATGTTTTGAGATTCTGTGGTCTTTTTATTGCCTTGTAGCTATTCGCTTGTTTTCATTGTTCTGTGGTCTATTTGCTACCTTGTAGCTATCCGCTTGATTTTATTGCTCTGTCCTCTTTTTATTATCAAGATACTATTCATGTATTTACAATACTTTACGCTCTTTTTGTTTCTAAAGAGCTATTCGCTTGTTTTTCTGCTTCTAGGCCTGTTTGGTGGCCTGTTAAGTTATCGAGGATGCTTCTTTTTTGCGCCTATTTGGTTACCTGTTAAAATGCCAAATTGTGATAAAAAAAGAGGTGACAGGTGGCATGGTAAATTTGCGATTAATTTCAGCTGACATTATGCCATAATTCTGGCCGATCTTTAGAGTACATAATTTAAGGATCCAGCTTGGCAACACGATGGTGCCATAATGGTATTATGGAATCGTCATGGAACAGTTGAGGAACTAGTAGAGAACTGACTGGGTGCCTGAGAGGTTCTATTTATTCGCCAGTTTCAGTCCACTTATATGCCAGCTTGGTTGTTGAGTTATTATGCTCAAAGTTCCTGAAATTATGGAATAGTGTTGGCTGAAATTAAGTGAATTAATACTACATCTTACTGCGTTATAGTCATATGATACTGTTCTGATACTGAAACACCCTCACATAATTGCTTCCCTCTTAATTGCTATTTCTTGATTGCCGGATGAGACACAAAGTGCTGAATTTGCAATACATCTATTTGCTAAAGATATATTGCAATCTATTCACCTACTTTTTGATTGCCGGTAAGGCACATGCGAAGCGTTAGTATTGTGCCATTCTTGCAATCCTGCCTTTTATAGCCTGTTTGATTGCTGGGGATGAGACACGAAGTGCCAAATTAGTTCAGGCTTCACAGCTTTCATACCCTTTTTTTGTGTATTCTCCTGAGACTTTCCGCCTTTCCGATCCTGTTTCTGCCTATCGTCGGTAGTATCCCAAGTTATAATTTCTTATTTTCTTTCCTATATATTATTCTAACTTGGGATACTACCAAATCTATA